CTCCTGACACCCTCAAGACTGCCCTAGGGAAGCATGCGCACACGCGCCTCCCAGGCCCACATCAGCTCTTCCCTAAACCCGGACAGCGCAGCTCCACTGCAGCTCCCAGTACCCAGAATTCCATGTCTCAATCCTCTGGGTGACCCGGCAGCGTGGACGCAGAGTGAATAGCAACATTTGTCACTGGACTGTTTTACAACGAATGCTGCTTGTCTTGAGTATTTTGAGAAAATGCACATATGAAAGGTTCCACTATAGGGCACCGCTCATGTGGTCCCACGCTATGAGTGCCCTCAGCCCTCACCTCTCCTCCACAGTGACAGCTGGTGTCACAGCCAATGAGCAACACCACCACTGTCTCTTATACACATCTAGATGTGTATAAGAGACCACGCTATGAGTGCCCTCAGCCCTCACCTCTCCTCCACAGTGACAGCTGGTGTCACAGCCAATGAGCAACACCACCAGTGCTCTCAGCCAAAGAGTGCACTACCACGTGCCTCCCAGAGCTGTGTGTTCCCAACAGCGTGGCCACTCCCTTGGGGCCTCTCTTCCGGCCAGTGCTGAGTTTGTGGGACCAGTTTTGACCCTGATGAATGACCAAAGGCATGCAAGAGACAGCCCTGTTCCCAGCATCGTGGAGAGAGGAGGAACCGCCTGCTGAAGGTGAAATGCACATCTGAGAGGTGCCTAAGGAGCCCCCAGGGGCACGGTCTGGGAAACAGGGCAAAGTCAACAGGGAATTTGGGATTAGCAGAAGTCCTGTGGCATCAAGCAGCCTGACAGCCAGCCGACATTTGTGGAGACCAGCCAAAATTTGTGCCAATGTGATCAGGAGAAACATGGCAGACACATGTCCCGGCTCCAGGCATTCAGGCAGAAGAGAAGCAAGCACTACTGAACAAACCTCCACGTGACCTGGGCCATAGGGTGTCCCTGAAGAACCCACCCAATCCTAGCTCCCATTTCTTTTCTTTCTTTCTTTTTTTTTTTTTTTGAGACAGTCTCGTTCTGTCACCCAGGCTGGAGTGCAGTGACACCATCTCGGCTCACTTACAACCTCTGCCTCCTTGCTCAAGTGATTCTCCTGCCTCAGCTTCCCAAGTAGCTGGGATTACAGGCATGTGCCACCATGCCTGGCTAATTTTTGTATTTTTAGTAGAGACAGGGTTTCACCATATTGACCAGGCTGGTCTCGAACTCCTGACCTCAGGTGATCCACTCACTTTGGCCTCCCAAAGTGCTAGGATTACAGGCGTGAGCCACCGTGCCCAGCCCACAGCTCCCATCTCTATAAACTCAGCTCTCTGCTATTGAAACCTACACTGAGGTCTCCAGCTGTGGCTTCTCTGAGTTCTCAGCCTGCTCCACCCCTCAGTGGCAGCCCAAGTGGCCTCTCACCCTCACTACTTCCAAAATGGGGCCATGGAGTCTGCCCGCTGCCTCTTCCAGCCCTCCTGTCACATGAGCGGCAGCACCCAGGTTCTGCCAGAACCTCAGGGCCACTCGAGTCCCTCTCTACACTGCCACATGGGCCCTAAGCTACCAGAATGTCAGGCAGACCACAGCGCCCCAGCCTCCTTCCCCAGCACTAGCCTCCTCCCCGACACAGTGAGGACGAGGTCTGCATTACCCTCCCCACCTCGCTCCCGCCCAGAGACTCTGCTCTTCCCTCTATGGAGGGATCTTCTGAAGGTCAAGTCGCTCTGCTCTAATCTCTTGCAGGCACATCCTCCTGCACTGACGGTACTCCAGGGCCCGCTCTGGTCACGCGGCGCTCTGCGAGCCGGCCTCGGGCTGCCCCTCTGTCTTCATCTCTTCTTACCCTGCCCCTCGGTCACTGACTGGCTGAGATTGCTAATTTTTGTTCAACAGCTACTTTCCTCTTCTTCTCAGTAAGACATTTCAGCTGTGTGCAGAATAAAGACAATGTGTCCTAGCATCCTGTGCAGGGAAGCGTGGTGACCAACGGGACACAAATGGAATGACAGAGAAAACTTGCAGTGAGTCCTTGAAAGGTGGGGATTTGCTCTTCTTCACCTAAACAGGCTTCCTGCCGGGAGGTATGAGGGCCAGAGCCGGTGCAGCCACACTAGACCACGAGGACGAGAAGCTCATCACAGCAACACAGGATGGAAGAAGTCTGGGTCCCTCACACCAAGGAGTACCGACCAGCTGTCGCACATCTATGCGGAATCCGGACCACAGTGGCTGCGCTCCCATCCTCCAGCACCTGAGCTGCTCCCGGAGCACGCCCCGTGCCTTCCTGCCCCAGGACCTCTGTACTCGCCGTTGCCTCTGCCTGGAGTGCTCCCCCTTGCGCTTTCCTACCAGCTGCCTCAGTGTCCTGGTTCAGATCTCAGTCCCGTGTCGCCTCCTGACCATCTTTGCCAAAGAACCACCTGATGCAAATTCCTCCCCAAACACGCCAGCCCCAGGACACCATCTTCTCTTAGTCGCTTCGTTATCCTAGGATCTGAAGGCCTGCTCATCTGATAACATTTCGTGTCTTTTCCTATTAAACAGAAATTCCGTGAGAGTAGGTCTGTCTTACCAGGATGTCCCTTGTCCCCCAAAGCATTCCAGCACAGAGAAGACACTCAGCAGAACAGCTTGTTCCTACAGCAGGACTCAGAGTGTGGTTTCTGGGAGTTACAGGCTGCTTGTGCTGGCTGGCACTCCCAGAACTTAAAATCCTGAAGCACCCAGAGGGCAGATAGATCTACCTGACAGAGGAGGCCAGGACGCTCCTCTCACCTTAAGTCAGCTCTGAGAACTTTCTGCATTGCACACAATTGTTCGAGTAATTCATGGAAACTTTACAAACACCTACCCACTACTGGCCAGACACCTGCTGGGGCTGGTGGCCTCAGTGACTGGAGAGGGCAGTGGCTGGCGCTTAGAAGGCTGAGATGGCTGCAACGTGAGGGCCAGAAACTAGAGAGGAGGGGGCTACTCCGACAGAACGAGCTCTAGGAACCCAAGGGGAATCTCGAGTCTCTGGCTTGAGCACCAGGCAGTGCACAGGTATAGGGCAGGAGTCCTCAAGGTCAAGAGAAGAGCAACTACCAGGGAGCAACGAGCAGAGCTCAGAGGGCCGCGAGGCCGCCATCTTGCAGCAGCCGGAGTGCAGTGGCCTCGCGGGACACACGGGCATGCAGCAGAGGCCTTGGGAAGGGCGCCGGTGGCAGGAGGCGGAAAGACTATTCTAGACCCACCACTTCAAAGCATAAAAAGCCTCAGAAGGATGATCTGCACCTTCACTGCCTGCCAAGCCCAACCCAACTCCTCAGAGAAAGACAACAAAATCCAGACATTCAAAAGTCTACACCTGACAATATCCAACAACCAAGAAAAACCTGTAAAAAACGTAGAGGCAGGAAAATGAGGCCAAAACCCAGAAACAAAATTAGTCAACAGAAACAGACCCCAAAATGATGTGGAAGATGGTGTGAGAAGAATCGTAGACCTTAAAACGATTATCAATTTGCTCACAAGGATGTAAAAGAAAACCCAAGTACCATGAGGAGGAATAAGGGGAAACTATTATGTTAGAAACGAAAAGTTAACTGGATGGGCGTCACAGCTATTAGGCACTGCAGAAGAAATGGTATCTGACAGCAGAAACGACCCAAACCGCAGCTCAAGGGAAAAGGCTGGGCCGGGTGTGGCAGTTCACGCCTGTAATCCCAACAGTTTGGGAGGCCAAGGTGGGTGGGTCAGGAGTTAGAGAACAGCCTGGCCAACATGGCGAAACCCCGTCTCTACCAAAAATACAAAAAAAAATTAATAGGGCATGGTGGCGGGCACCTGTAATCCCAACTACTCGGGAGGCTGAGGCAGGAGAATTGCTTGAACTCAGTAGGTGGAGGTTGCAGTGAGCCGAGATCATGCCAATGCATTCCAGCCTGGGTGACAGAGCAAGACTCCGTCTCAAAAAACAAAAAATAAAAAACAAAACAAAAAAAAAGAAAAAGAAAAAAGGCTGAAATTAAAAAAAAAACAACAGAGCTTCGGTGTTCTGTAAGACAACGTCAAGAGGCCTGAAACAGATGTGATTAGAGTTCTAGGAAATAAAGTGGAAAGATGCAAAGATAGCTAAAGAAATAATGGCCAAGGTTTTCCAAATTTGATGAAGAAAAACCAACCTACAGATCAAAGAAGCTTAAGAAACTCCAAGCAGGATAAAGGCAAAGAAAGCCACCTCAAAGCACATAATAATCAAATTGCTGACCGTAACAGTAAAGAGAAAACCTTACAAGCAGCCTAAGAGTTCCGGGGTGTCACACACACAAGAACGAACGTAAGACATTCTGGGAGCCTCCACTGAGCCCCCAAAACAGTGGGCGAGAAGACAGCAGGTCACACTTGAAAGCACTGTTGGAGGAAAGAACTAAAAACACTGTCACTGCCATCAGTAATTGTTTAAAACTTTAAATGGAATTTCTTCAATATTTTAAAGATACATTAAAACGTATCTATTACTCACCAATACAAAACTTAGGAATTTTAAATTGATTTGTAGGAGTAGGCATAATCTTTGTCTTGGAATTTAGATAGGAATCTCGCCGTCTGATACTTCTAGTCTTATTCAATTGAGAAGATTCTGACCAAGTGGAACTGGAGTTCGGCCACTGGCCTCCACCTTCCGGAGTCTGGGGTTGGGTGGGGGACACTGAGCGGGGCGCTGTGGGCTGCTCTGCTGCCAGCCCGGAAACATCGACCTGCTTGGCTTGCTGGGAGGATGCCCCCACAGGGCCTGCAGGCAGAGCGGGCCGCAGCAGGGCGGGTCCTATTCTGCCTGACTTGCTGATGTTTGACAGAGGCCGGGAGCTGTTTGCAGGAATACTTGCAAATTCACTTGATTTAGCTAGAAGGGTATACACACAAAAATCACATTATAAAATTAGGCAGCTATTTAACAAACACACAGAAGTTATGCTGTCTTTAGCTCATCTACCTTAAACATATGACACATTAAAAATATTCTATAAGCCCTTCAGGCAACATCATCAAACACAGCACGGCCCAGGCAGCTTTTAGCTTAGCTGAGTGTATTCTAAGGTACTTATTCTCAAAATCATTACTAACATGTACAAAAGCATGCATAAATTCAAGCTCTCCTGTCTTCGTTGATTATGTTGGCAGGAGAAATCTACATTAGTTGAGCAGATGGAAGGGGATAGTCTAGTCACATGTCTCATCTGTCTGGTCACAGAGGTGGACAGGGCACAGGGAAAAAAGATGCAATTGTTACTGGTTGATTCCTTTAAAATTACAAGGAGTCTGGGTCATATTAACTATAAGCACTATTTAAAATAGAAGACCAGATAAACTAGAATAATAAATACTGAGCTACCAATATACACAGATGATCTGGTAAAGGATTCTTAAAGAAAAACTTTAGGAACAGGAGTGGTGGCTCATGCCTATAATCCAAACACTTTGGGAGGCCAAGGCAGGAGATCACTCGAGGCCAGGAGTTCGAGATCAGCCTGGCTAATATAGTGAGACCATCCTCACTACAAAAAACACAAAAATGTGGGCCAGGCGTGGTGGCTCATGCCTGTAATCCCAGCACTTTGGGAGGCCGAAGCGGGCGGGTCATGAGGTCAAGAGATCGAGACCATCTTGGCCAACATGGTGAAACCCCATCTCTACTAAAAATACAAAAATTAGTCAGGTGTAGTGGCGGGCACCTGTAGTCCCAGTTACTCGGGAGGCTGAGGCAGGAGAATCACTTGAACCCGGGAGGCAGAGGTTGCAATGAGCCAAGATTGCGCCACTGCACTCCAACCTGGCAAAAGAGCGAGACTCCATCTCAAAAACACACATACACACACACACACACAAATTAGCTGGGTGTGGTGGCATGTGGCTGTAGTCCCAGCTATTCAGGAGGCTGAGGTGGGAGGATTGCTTGAGCTCAGGAGGTCGTCACCTCAGTCTATAAAGATAAGGACACAAACCTCTCTTAATCACAGAATGGCAGAGTCAGGATTCCAGATCAGATCAATCTGATTAGAGTTCACACTTTTTCTTTCTTTTTTTTTTTTTTTGAGACGGAGTCTCGCTGTCGCCCAGGCTGGAGTGCAGTGACACAGTCTCGGCTCACCGCAACCTCCGCCTCCCGGGTTCAAGCGACTCTCGTGCCCCAGTCTCCCGAGTAGCCGGGACTACAGGCACCCGCCACCATGCCCGGCTAGTTTTTGTGTTTTCAGTAGTGACAGGGTTTCACCACGTTGGCCAGGCTGGTCTCAAACTCCAGGACTCAAGCAATCCACCCATCTCGGCCTCCCAAAGTGCTGGGATCACAGGTGTGAGCCACTGCACCAGGCCCACTTTTTACATTTTGTGAACACAATCCACACCGTGCTGCCCTGAACGACCCCGAGATTCCACACGGCCAATGCACCTTCAAGAGGATTTCGCTCTGAAGAGCAGAAAGGCGAAGGCTTTCCCTTACCACTAGATGGCAGCCGTGGCTCGGCAAGGTTGAAATGTGGCTTGACCTCAAACAGGTGTGGGAGCGTGGATTTAAACAGGCACCCAGGAGTTATGGGGGCCATATGCCATAAATTATCTGGAATAGTCCTATTTTAAAACTGGTGTCTCATGGCATTGACATGAGCCTGATTCCTTCTGTGTTCTCAGGCACGGGATATCATACACGCTTTCTGGCTGTGTGTACCCCCTAGACTGAAGCCACCCATCTGACTGTGCCCTCCTCATGGGACAGATGCACTGAGGGCAGGCACAGCGACTCAGCCGACAGCCTGGTCCACCGCACACAGCACGCCCTCCGGGACGTCCTGCTGAGCCTGAGTGGTTCTGTAGAAACAGTCTCCGAGGCCTCAGCAGCACTCCAGGCCTCACCTGGCCAGATGTGGGTCCAAGCACGATGCCGGCTGCCTCACCTTTGCCCGCTGCTGGGGATGTGCACACACTGGATGCCCTGCTCCAAACAGGCCCTGAGGAAGACTTCCTTGCGAGATTGCTGGTAGAGCCGGGTGCTTTTAACAGGGTCTTCTTCAGCCCCAACTGGGGCAAAATGTGAAAAAACAGAATCAGCAAAGATCTCATTATTTACCTGTAACTTATGTCTGCAAAAGTAAGGGGCTTTTGGCTGGGCGCGGTGGCTCACGCTTGTAATCCCAGCATTTTGGGAGGCCGAAGCGGGCGGGTCACAAGGTCAGGAGTTTGAGACCAGCCTGGCCAATATGGTGAAACCCCGTCTCTACTAAAAATATAAAAATTAGCCTGGCATGGTGGTAGGCACCTGTAGTCCCAGCTACTTGGGAGGCTGAGGCAGGAGAATCGCTTGAACCCAGGAGGTGGAGGTTGCAGTGAGCTGAGCTCATGC